GCCTCCCTGGGAGGGGAGCAAAAGGCCCTTTAGGAAGAAGGCTCAGCGGCACGGGCGCCTTTATCCGAGCAATGGGTCGAATCCGTTTTGTTTTAGTCCAGAGAAGAAGAGAAGTCGGGCCTAGAAGGGGGGTCTGTGTAGTTGGGCGTGGAATGGAACAAGGAGACGGGTGTGTGTGTGTGTGTCTCCCACCCATAATATTCGGGAGGGTCGCCCCACACAACTGCATCGGTTCAGTATCCCCCCCAAAAAGGTGGGGGGGAGGGAGCGCTGTTTCACACAGGGCCTAATCCAGCGACGAGACACCTTGCCAGAAGAGGTGACCATAGCCCCGGAGTTAAGAGGGCATTAAAGGGAGGAATTAAGAACTGGATGACTTCCAACAGGGTTGCCCCAGGCTGCGGTTGACGGGGGGGGGGCGGGGGACAGACGGAACACCCAGTTTCTGGAGAATCACTGATTCTTTATTGCTCAGGAGTAACAGTGGGAGGCTGCTACGTCCTTCCTTCCTCATTTTCTGGAAGCAGGGTTGGTTTCAACTTGGAGGGATCAGAGTGACCTGGGGGGGAGGGGGGTTGACCTAGGAGGCAGATCTCCAGGAGCAAATGATGGGATGGATGCATCCTGACTGAGCACCAGGGCAGAGATCAGAAACTGTTTCCAGGGGTCAGCCTAGATGCTGCCACATCTTCTCTTTTCTGTGCTCAAAAGTCTGGAAGGGCACTTTTGCGTAAAATATTCATGCTCTTGATTAATTTTTCAATAAACCGATTAATACAAATGCTCAGGCAACATAGAGTAACAATCATTATAGATGCATGTGTGTATATTTAGGAATTAAAGTAGGCCTGGAGAGAGCAGAGCAGAGGTTGGGGAAACAGGAGCACTTCAGACGTTGCTGGGCTCTAGGTCCCATCTGTCCTATACACAGCACTGCCAAGAGTTGAGGGCAAATGGGAGTTGTAGTCTGGCACTACCAGGCAGCACCGGTGGTGATCAGGAATGGAGAAGTACAGTAATTGGAAAGCAGTTGCTAAGGGGTTGGTTTCATCTGGCGCCCCACCCCAGGAAGGCAATCTTTAAATTATGGGATCTCATCCCAGTGCCAATGGGTGATGCTGCCATGGCTGGGTGGGGCCCAGAAACTGGCCTGTGGCCACATAGAAAATAAGCATTGAATCCAGCCCTTTTCGAGCAACCCAGCGCCCCTGGACAGAAAAAAGCAGAAAGCAGGGATTGCCCACAGATGTTTGCTGGCTGTCATCCTGTCAGACCCCACGACAGCATGAATATCCATGCATGTTGCAAATGCCCTTTGCAAAATCAAAGGAGGATGCATGGGTGACCCCCTTTTCAGTATTAGAAGCGTGGGGTTGGAGGGGACGGGAGTGGTTTGGCTCTGCGGAATGAACACCGCCTTTTGAGGCTCCCTGATCCATTTACCTGCTAATGCCATTAACTGCAAGAGGTTGCTTTATTTAGCATGGGGACTGTTGCTTCCGTCATCCTGCAGAAGCAGGGAGGTTCCAGGTCCTCCCTCTTTGAACGATATATATGGAGTAGTGGACTCAGAGGGACTTTTCTGCTGATCCAACTGAATGGAACAAAAGAGAGAAGCCAGGAACAGAAATAGGGGTCCTCGTTCCCAGAAAGAGGGGAAAACTTCAGCAGGATTGCATTGGCTGGCTAAAGGACTGAATATATAAGAGCGCTCACCTTAGCCAGCCAATGCAATCCTGTTGAAGTTTTCCCCTCTTTCTGGGAACACAGACCCCTATTTCTGTTTCCGGCTTCTCTCTTTTGTTCCATTCAGTTGGATCAGCAGAAAAGATCCTCTGAGTCATTCCGTTTGCAAACCTCGGCAGGAAGGGAAGGGGTAGAGAGAAAGGGAGGCCCCCTTGGAGGCCGGCCATGGGAACTCCGGCAAGCAGGGCAGAGTGTGCCAACTGTCCATGCCTGTCCCAAACTCCCAGGATTTGCCCCCCCCCACAGGTGACTCGGGAGAGTTCTAGTCTCAAAGGTAATCAATCCCCTACTCCACAAGGTCTCAAGAGGTTGTCCTGTGATTGCACCTGGATCTCAGGCAGGCCCTGAGCTGAATCAGGAAGGATATCACAGGTGAAGATTAGAAAAAAAAACAGGGCACCCCTCAGACTCCTGGGTTAATACCCTTCCATGTCTGGACATCTCCAGTCTCATGTGATGTTGGAAGCTAAGCAGGGCTGGGTCTGGCTAGTGTTTGGATGGGAGACCAGGAGAGAACAGTACAGGGAGCTCTCGCTCCCCCCCCCCGGCAGTAGTATAGAGTGCACCCAGAAGGTTTGATTTTAATCCCAGGTGTCTCCAGGTAAGGCTGGGAAGGAATCCCTGGCAACTCTGGAGAGCCACGGCTGCCAGTCAGAGTTGGCAGCACTGGCTTAAAAGGGTCTCACTCCGTCTAAGGCTTCTAGGTTTGATCCCCTGTACCTCGGCCTGTCGTATGGAAAGAGGTGGGTCCAGGCGAGAGCGGCTTTGTCCAGAGGGAAAAGGCCACCTCGGCTCCCCTGAGGCCCCACTGCAACCGGTGCAGGCGGACCCAGGCAGCTCTCTCTTCCCCCTCCCACATGCAAGGGGGGGGCAGGGACTTGGCCCCCTTCCAGCTGATCTGGCCAGTCTTGCATGGATGAACGGAATGAGGAATGAACAATCCCCGTGGGCTGCCAGCAGCAATAGAGGATCAAGGCTGTTTGGCCTTCAAATGCCAACAGGATGGGATCACTCAGAATCGAACAACAGAATGAAAGGACCTCCATTGGGGTGGGGGTGGGGTGATGATTACGCAAAACATCCTAAGTGCTCCCCCACCCCACCCCACCCCAACATCTGTTTGAGGCAACCAGCATCTTCTCTGGAAAAGGAATGGAAGGTTCAGGGCAGGGCAG